ATTGTATTGAAGAGCATTAGGACCAAATTTCAAGTAATTTTGATCGTAAATATTTTGCATTGCATTATAATGTGTTATCTCGTGGGAATGAGATAATCTCCCGCGATGAAAAGTCCTAGACCGCCAACTACCTCCACACCAAAAATAACGCCAATCCGTCACTCTGTCTTAACGTGAAAGAAGGACAAACAAACACACTTTCACATTTATAATATTAGTATGGATTGTAAAGGTAGAACATTTGCTAAACATATTCGCTTTGCAAAACTTTATTATTTGTTACATATATGTGCTATTTATTATAGTGAAGTTTTAATTTTAAAATTATGTTCATACATAATATGCTATTTATACTAATTAACAATAACATATCATAAATCAATTGGGATTTTGTGATAATTACAATCATTTTTATTTGTAGTACCTATGTTCATTTATTTTCCCTGAATGGCCATTGATATAGCTTTATTTTAGAACTTAGTCTAATATTTAATTAGCCATAGCTTCTTGGGGATAATTTGTAGTAACGAAAATGAAAGCAATCCATTTATTCAAATGGAAATTGTATCTTACAAAGAAACTTATTTGAATGAATATTGAAATTAATTATTACATTTTGAGTAATACTATGAATTCTAGCTATGAAATAATAAATCGAAAAATATAGGTATTATAATTAATAAAAAGAAGTACAAAATGAGACATTTTCTGTAATATTTCAACTTTTTTTATATAGAGTGCATATAAGTTGCACTTACTTATTTTATTTTAATGTTCTTTTATTACTACACAATATATTCAGTGCTTCCATTCTGCGCTTTATATAAAAAAAAAATGAAATGTTACTGGAAATATCTCATTTTGAACGAATTTCCCAGTTAGACCAAAGTTTGACGTCCCATAACTTGTATCCAAGGTAGATGTTTTCTCTCCTAAATATATATTCTTATCATGCACACAGTCAACTTTCAAAATATATAAAGAAAAGATCAAATCGTATGACACATTTTTTTTCATTATTCTGGGGCGAAAATGAGGCCTTACCTTTCGTTTTCATAATCCTTACCTTTCCTTTTCAATTTTTGTCTGTCTATCTGTCTGTTTGTTCCGGATCATATCTGAAACAGCTGGACTGATTTTGAAGGGACTTTCACTGGAAAATTGCCGATGTTATGGGGAGTAACATAGGCTACTTTTATTTTTAAAAAAGAATTAAGGTTACGCTCAAAAAAAAGTACTATAAGAAATTATTATACACTATGAGAAGTATATCATGATAATCATTATGAGATACACTAGTTCAGCTTTTTTTAATTTTTACATCCCCTAAATACATTTTATAGTAACAGAGACGCGTATCTTCTATTATTGATTCAGAAAACAATAGATAGTTTTACAGCAATTTTATTACGGAATGAACTTCACGGTCGTAAACTAATTTTAGATTTATGTACGTATGAAATTTTGCGGTTAACCAAATAATCTGTGTACAATAATCACATACATAGCATTGATTTCAGTATTGTTACAAAAAAGTATTTTATTTAGACTCGATTTTATTTAATTATCTAATGTTTTTGTATTATTTAAACATACAAATAAAAGATATTTTAAGTTTTTTGTTACGAATAACGTGTCAAGATCAAAATCTATTTCAAAATTACCTGACAAACAGACAAGACCTATATATAAAATAAAAATAGCGAAATAATAAAAGCCTGAAATGAATGTAATGTATGTATACATGAACTTTAGGTTTAGATAAACCTTCTCCTCAATTCTCTGAAACATCTGGAAAATGTATGGTAACGCCATAACTGTCTATGTGTGTGTGCACCTGAGTCTGTGGGGATGTCTGGGGTATCGGATATTGATCGGTTCGGAAGAGCTCCTCCATGTTCATGATGCCCTAGTACTTTCCGATCGGCCGTCCATTATCGGTGATAGCCGATACTCCACCAATATCAGTCGGTCGGTTGTTGCCGATTGATCCCGAATCGTTACAATGTCACTTTCAATACACAAGTGAAAGTCTACGTGACGTTTACTACAAATATATTTTATCGCAGTACCTATAGTAATATTGATTATTTAATCATATTAATTGTTAGGTATAAATCGTTCTGCTTTTATTGATTTCTGCAATACAATTTTTACGAGTGCAGGGGCTAGGGAAATGAACAATTATTATTACTCGTGCACGTATAAAATTATGTCAATAAAGAAATTTATTATTTTCATGTTTGTTGAAGTTAAACTTCTTTAGAATCGTTGTGATTTGAAACTCGATGAAACGGAAATGCGGCACGAGAAAGAGACAAACACGTAAATATATAGGATTAAGCCGGCCAGAGAATGAGATAAAATACACTTACACAGGAACTGAAAAATAATACTGAATAATATGTTATGTATAAATATAAGTTAAATAAAATGTAAAATAACTTTTAAACTGGGTAAAAAAAACTAAACTACTACTTATAAAAATGAATATTTATTA